GTCGAATACATGGCGTATTCCTCAGGGATTGATCAACGCCAAGAGTTTTATCCTTTATCCCTTCATAGTGAGTGATAATGATCGTCTTCATTTACCTTGCGGCATATCTATGATTAATCTGCAGTTCTAATCCAAAATCTTTCTATTTCTAATTCTGGTAACAAACTGCGAAGGCATTTATCCTCATAAGTTGAACTCTTTATGGGTTAAAAAAAAGTAGGTGCTGTTCGAATACAAAGGGACATGTGCAGTTTATCGTATTAACTATGTTTCGGAAAATATGCTAAGGAATTCGGCTGCTTCCGATGGGTTATTTTGTAGTTCAGATCAGTTTAATGTGAGGAAAATCACAGGTTTCGAAGAACGATGTTTACGGACATCGTTTGAAGCGCAACGCCGAGTGATTAACTAAAAAGTGGTTGTTATTCTTGTAGTATTCACGGCAGTCCACTTCGCATTCCGTAGTAGGTGCGTTTGGACCAAGTGATTTTACTGAGTTCTTTATCCACTTTCCCTTATGAAACGAATTGAATTGGGGCGAACAACGTTCACGTAAATTTCGAGCAAAAGAAAAGGCTAGTTGAGTATGGGTGAAGAGCGCTTCTCGTTCTAAAGCGACGGCTACTTTGCAAAAATTTAAAAGTGTCTTTTCATGAGTCGCTATTGAGTAGATTCCGTCAATAGTCCAATATTGCATCGGAATGGCGCAGTGGTTGGAGGCGCCGTACAACACGCACATTGAATCGATCCAGGCGCCCATGACTAACCAAGCATTCTATCCTTCCGGAATCGGCAATTTGGTACCGGACTTGTCTGCGAGGATAGCAGCACTGGCTCGATACATCGGTAGGCCACCGCGAGTCATCGTAAAGGCCAGATATGCATTCAATCACCTCCAAACGATGCTCAATGAAGTCGAATGCATGCCGCATCCCTCGGGTATTGATCAACGGCGAGAGGTTTTTTATCCTTTGATAAATCTAACAGAGGTAATTCCTCATCAGAAATAACAAAGAGGTCATAGAGTGCAGAAGCAGATTGAGTTACGAAATCCCAAAATCCTATGGTCTACGTGGGACAAATTGTAGCAATTCATACTGCTCAACGTGATAAAACACTCGTCTTTAATCCGTGGAGGCCTTAATACTTTCGGTCATATCCTCGTCTTATATAATGTTTTAGTTGTAGTCTATAGGTTGCTTATTCGTTTTTATGAGTGGATTGTTCTGCTATGGGTTAAAGAGCCGAGAGTTGATTACATCTGGATCACTCCTGCAACAGACCTCTCGGCTCATCTTTTTGGAGGTCTCCCTTGATGTCATTTTTCTTTTCGAATTGGTCCCGATATCGTTGTCGTTCACATGCTCCTTTCTAACTACATAACCATCTTACCGTCTTTTGTTTTATAATATTTACTCTTAAGGCAGTATATTAATCGGAAATCTGAACAAACGAAAATTAGTTTGGTGTTGAGGCACATCGTCTCCATAAAACAGCTATCAGGTGCCCTGTATACTTACTTGGATACTTGAACAGGCCGTCCTCACTGGTTGTGCGGGCCCCAGCATGACCTCCATTTTTCGGAGTTTTGCTAGTTTAGCCATTGTGTTTTCCTGGGTTCCCGGGGTCAGCCTGGCCAAAGTCTACCCCAGGTCGTTACCACCATAGGTAGTCACGGCCCTTGTGGAGCAGAAAGAGATTTACCACCATGCAACTAGTTTGATAAAAGGACGATGGTGGATCCTGGTATTGGTTTACTCTTAGCTGGGCTTCCTGATGGAAATGCCAGACTCATTCTCAGCTTGGAAGACCCTGCCGAGTGGATGAGTCACCCAGCTGTACACAGCAGCTCGTCACTCAGGAACACTTCCCAGCCACGATGAGGCGGTAAACCGTTGAGAGGCCCTGTGTAGTATGCGTAATTTTTTCAATGTGGCCAAATTGTTCTTGTATAGAGCAATGCTTCGATTAAGTGAGGTGGTAGAATGGCGTCGCTCTCCGCGCTGGTAGAAGTTTTAGGTAGGCAATGAAGGTTACAACAACGTTAGATGGTAGTCGTCGTCAAAACCTTTTGGACTTAGACTCTGGATATAGTCTATGCAGATAAATCTTTTCCTAAATCCAAGTTTCTGTATGGGACCATGTTTTCTAGATGCGCATGAGGAGGATTCTTTACAGAGTTTATCGAGCACTCTCAGCAAGCTGGTCAAGCGGTGCTTACGATGGTAGTACTTGCTTTCGCACTTGTGTAAAAGGATGTGACGCAAAACCTTCCCTCGGTTAGGTACTTATTCTGTAGATGGGATGTTAAGTTGGTTGCACCTAGAATTGCTCGTAGAAGATCAACTGCGGTATTTTTTCGTCCATATGCCAGGCTTTAAACTTTCATCCTCAAGCTTGTAATTGCATCTTGAAATTCTTCAGTTATTGTGGACGAGCATGTATGGAACCTACTTGCTACCGACTCCATCTTGCGACTGGAAGTTGTAGTTCTTCTGAATTCATTAAGCAAAGCAGAAATTTCAGTATCATACTCAGCAGGATCTCGAAAACTCAAAAATATTTGCTTGTCAATATCGATGAAGTTCCCGTTTTGCCCCGCCTCCCTTCTACCGTGTTGGGTGACCTTCTTTCGAATGATATAGAAGCAAGGTCTAGTCGTATCGTCTTTTCTAAAGCTCCCTGGCTTTGATTGATAAACATTTAGAGCTTTTTTCTGCATTAAATTGGGCTCGTTCAACACCGGTTCGGAGACTACCATCTCCGTCTTCTCCCCGTTCTTCACTTTGGCGTCAGTGCTAATTGGACAGATCACCACCCAAAATAAGCCCCTTATACAAAGCCTTTTTTCCTTTCCACTCGATAACTGGATTTCTTCTCCACTATGTGGTTAGAGCGAATCTTCTCGTATAGACGATGGTGTGGTGCAGGCATGTGGAACGACGCCGATATTGAATAGACTTTTCTCCTGTTGACAATGATGTAGGCAACCTCTGCTCGCCTCTCACCCTTTTGAGAAATGAATTTCCATAGAAATGGCGAGCTGCCAGAAGGAGACCCACAACATGATCTTCGTTTCCACTCCATATGCAAGCTCTCCTTAGATTCCTGTTCTTGCCGCATTCTCCATCTGTGTACTGAAGTCGCCCGTTGTGGTCTTGTTATCTACAGCGTTATTGAAATTTTTGGAAAAATGCAGAGCTTCGTTTCATCACCTGACGAGAAATTTCATAGCATAGTATGTTAAAGTCTCCAGACAGAGTTTCATAACAGTCAACAGTAAAAACTTTATTTTATTTTATCCTACAGATGGCCTCGTCTGTCACAGCGATGAAAGCGGCCCATGTGATGCAGATTTTCTTTCGCTCACCCCCACACGTCAGACAAACCAAACCTTCCATCTGTCCGATGTAGACAAGTCAGTATCAGACTTGTTTGGCGGAATGAAAACAGTGGTTTGGTAAACATCGGTAGCTTCTACAAAGTCATTACATTGGCTAAATACGGTAATTAATCACCTCTAAAACTTCTAATGGGGTTGAATGCACGGCGCAGTTCCAAATAACTGGCGAATGCTGGGTGCTTTGTCTTCCTAGTTTTATTCTATGCGTTGATCACGTTAAAAGTTCGAAATCAAAAGTGTAGAAATTGAACGGCGGACATGTCGATATGGTGTACAACAAATGAAAGCCAGGTCTTAACTGAGAAACCATCCGTAAATACAAGTACTTTACAGCAGAGTTCAGTGTAGCCGGTAGCGTTTTGCTAAGAATACTTTAAAAAATAAGGGGTACCATATATAGAAAACGTATATTTCTTTCGTATCTCTCAACCGGGCAGAGTCCACTAAACAATTCTACCCTGGGAGATAGATGAATGAACATTTTCATACCGATGACCACCAGTGTAAAGAGTAAGAGTAAATGATCAGTGCAATTAGAAGTGAAAGGGATCAGTGGGACTGAAAGCGAGAGAAAGGTTATGTGAATGAAAAGAAAGATTGGGAACTGAGGTACACGGTAGAGAACTAAATATGAGAAGACGGTTTCCATAGTGCAACTATTCCTTCCCACTTGAACTCCCTCTTTTGTTTTTCTTATTTAGTGTTTGATCCAACATCACAATTATCACGCTGCGTGTATCCCGTCCCCTCCTGCATTCGACCTGTTTCCTCGTATTCATCAGTCACGAAGGCCTTCGAACTTCTTTTTTTGTGTGGCTTATGTCGCTAGTTGAGGTTTCTTTTCGTCTTGGTCACAAATGCCTGTGAATTTTGGTCGTCCATTTTTCCTGGAATCCTGAGTTATCCATGCTAGGAAGTTCCCACAAAGGAGAAAGGATAGAGCATTTGGTGTTGATTTATCCCTGGTTGATATGTCATTCATTCGTTTTTATCAAATATTATTAGTAGTATCGTTAGTGCTGTTTTGAATATCTGACCTATAAAACGACTTGCAGTGCTATTATCCTCCCAGACACGTTTGCTAGCAATTTTCCGAACCCAAGGGGATGGACGATTTGATGAACTCACAACGCTGGACCGAACCCAACACCACGTGGATGTTTCAGAGCAATGCTAACCATTGCGCCACATACCCCGGGAGTTCCCAAATTCTTTTTCTTTTTTGTAGTGATTTGTTTGGATAGTTATCCAAAGCTAAAATTTCTGACTTGTCGAGAAGACCTGTCATGTAACCTACAATGTATCTTTCTCTGCCTGTTTATATTCAAAATACAATGGTTTTTTAGATGAACGTAGTCATTATCAATACCATTGAATTACATTTATCCATCCGATTATGTTTGATGAATTCGAGACGTAGAGGTTCATTCAACCACTAAGAGCTGAATTGGTGGACGCGTGAAGCTCTGCCACGTACTAACCAGCTGACTTGGAATTCCAGGTATAAACGCTAGGACTTGACGACATTAGTATGGCACCAAGCTGAAGTGATTTTATTTCAGACATACTGACTGTTACTGGCTGAACTAACTTAACGATGGGTAATCGAGTTGGTGGACTGCACAGAAGACGTGAGAGACCGGAACATGCCGCACTGAAGGTTTCTATGAAACGTGTGAAAGGCCTGGAGCACGTCAATAAATTACCTCCTAGTAAGCCTATGCCAAATTTCGTTCTTCCCATGGTGTCTTTGCGTTCCAATACACGACGATTAGCGTCAGATGCCGTCGTGAAGCTGTTTTCCACTGGCAGATTCTAAATTGCGTTGGCTCCACACCTCACTGTATGATATTCTTTTTATCCTGCAACTTTTAAACTTGCTTAAAACCTAATAGGCATTAGTGCCTTCTTGGATTGTTGAGCTTATACGTAGTTTATACCAGATGTTAAGCTAGTACATAGTTGATTGATACCAATATTTGTTCGGATAACGTTTTGACATCTTCATCTTTATCAGAATCGATAGTCCGATTGGATGGTCCGCAGTCCTTCTTGGTTCTCGCATTCACTCAGTATTATCTCACGCTACGATAACTAGGTTCATATGAAATGACTAAGATACTGCTACTAATTACGAGCACATTCAGACATTTACGTCCGAAGAAACAATGATCAGTGAATTGTTGTGGTAGCGGTTTCGCTCGAATGATTCTGCTAAAACAGAACAAGTATAAAGAGTAGAGCATTAGTAGGCGTTGATCAATTCCTGAGAGAGGTAATGTGCGCTCAACTTGAAGAAAATCGTTAGAAGTGAATGAATGCATATTTGGCCTATAGAATGACTCGCGGTGGCCTGTAACATATCAAGTCAGTGCTGCTCTTCTCCCAGACCGGCCCGGTACTAATTTGCCGACCTCGGAGTGTTGAAAGGCCTGGTGAACCCTGGGTGTGATATTGAGCCAAAGATCACTTGTATATTGCGGAACACCTATAACCACTGCGATAGAGTAACAATGAAAATGTTGACAAGGAAATGTAGTTATTTCAGAAACCGTTATTACTTTGTGAATTACCTAAGAATGATAGTAGTCAAGTATTGTACGACTTAACATAAATTTATAATGCCATAAGTGATGAACACTGCTTGTACATTCTTTCTACTAATTATCGACAATCACTCCCATTCAATGGGAATGACGAAGTCGACTGCTACAAATGTGAAGTTCGTTAACTCCAGTTGTACCTCGTCGACACTGTCTTCTACGTCTTCTGAAACAGAATCGAATACATGACTATCTACTACTTGAAACCGAATTCATAAAGCGTCAAAACGCCTATAAGTCACTAGAAGTTCAGAAAAAGGAGGAGCGAAAATTGGTTCAGGTACGCTTAATCTTTGCAATAGTTGAGAGCTTTTGCTGAAGCTTATTGTATGAGTAGAATTTCCCAATGAATTAAGGCCACTTTTAGCAACTTCGTGGAACTCCAACAACTTTGGCAAAAGTGCATGAGTTATTTAACGATGAGCAGGTAAGAAACTTATAGAAGACACTCAACGAGCAAAAACATTGACAAAGATACCCACAGTAGGATGAATGCCGCCGGGGTCCGTAATTGGAAGAAGTTCATGTAAAGGATACCGTAACTTTGTCTACATCATTAGCTGGACTTTCCTCATGCGTTTCATTGATTTCGCTATCATACACCAGAGAGAATTTGAAGACCTCTTTCTCAGGAAGGGTGCTGGATTTATGGAATAGAAAGAGTCGAAGTATAGCTTTCCTTTTATAAATTCCATGGTGGGTGACGATCATTGCGTACATAAGCAAGTTTGGTATATTAATCATCAACTTAGATAGATCTTTATGCTGCTTCTTTTCTGAGCTGCCCTTAAATCGTTTTGTTTCATACTACTGCACGTCTTCCTACGAGTAATTAACATTTAAGTATTTATATAAGTCGCGTTAGGTGTGTTGCAATCTTCAAGCTTCATATTTTTCTAAAGGTTTCCGTTGTGATAGTGGAGCCTCGATATGGCCTTATTGGTTGGTATACAGCAGTATAATCAGCCTAGTTTTGGAGTGCTTTGACAAGAAACTCCCAATATCTAGTTAGGTCTACATGTGACACTCATGTAGGGAAACGGCATTGTTTTACAAGAGTATGTCTTCATTTTGAGACTGAAGTGATGATTGAACCCAGTGGTGAAAACTACTACGAAGGTATAAAGCTGATACCATAACCTTGTTTGTAAGGATACGGCAGATTTACTTCCCATCGGGCGATCATCCTATCCAGCAGATACCAGGCAGAGTGGTGATTTTCATTTCCATATCTGTTTCCTATTTCAGCGGTTCCGTCCTTGATCGGTCGGTTACTTTTACATTCCTACTTTCGTTTCTGATTTTGGTTTTAACATCTCTCCGAATCAACTAGTGGGAAGACCGAGCGAAGGATTCGTCGCGGAAAACACACCTCCCTCTGATCCACATCGTGGTGAAGACCTTGATACGCCCTTGCAAGGTTACGTCAGGACTCCAGGGAGGATCAGGTTGCACGGCCAGCAATAGACCAGCCTCAATGCCCCACACACTGGGTGCTCCTATGACGCCAGGCGGTTAGACGACCGGCAAGAGGCCAGAAAATCTCGGGTTACGCAGGACGTCATTGGAACCGGATCTGACGAGCACACGAAACGCCATGGAGATTGTTTCTTACTATGCATAATGCCAGACCACTCTCCACAGACACCGATCTTCACGCCCTTCTTGTAGCCGCAGATCGCATTAAATTTCACGTGATCGCATAACAAGAAAAAAAATCAAGAAGACAGACATACGCCAACTAAACAACGGGACCCTTGTGACCCGCGGAGAAAAGGTTCCGTCACGAAATGTCGGTGGTGTAGGCTTTGTCGTCTACCCGTCCATTGTCCATCTCGTCGAGTCATACGTGAACTTTTCCCCTTGCATAGCCGTCCACCGTCTTCAACTGTCGCATCATAAGAAGATCACTATCATCAACTGCTACTCACCGACTGATGTAGCTGATGAGAGCGAATTAAATGCGTTCTACTATCAGTTGGAGGAAGTCATCCGCAATGATAAAGCATATCATAAATTTGTTGTTGAAGACTTCCACGCCAGAATAGGAAGAACTAACGAGAACGAATACAGGATCGGAAATTTTGGATTAGGAGAAAGAAATGAGAATGTCAACCGTCCCGCAGGACTCCTGTCAGCAGCACGTCTCTTCCATCGAAACTCGTTTTTCCAGAAGAAAGAAAGCCGCCGCTGAACATGGAAGTCTTCTAACCGCATGACTCATGCGGAGATCGACCATATTCTGACAAACAGAAGATGGTGCCTACTTGACACATCGGTAGTCCCGTCATTCTGTACTGGTTCCGATAACCCCCTTCTTCGCGTGAAGATTCGATTCAGCCGCAAGCTGAAAAAGAACTCTCTTCATCGACCACGAGGAAAAAATCTAGCTGTATACGACGAGTACATTCTAAACGAATGTCCTGTTCAAGCGTGACTGGCAGATTAAAGAAGACCTGGCCGAAGACTACGAGCTGCTTGTCGAAGGACTGAAAAGCTGTGCCGAATTGGCCACAGTTCCTCAGGCAAGAAGATCAGATCGCATCTCCACTACTACTAAGGAGTTGCTCGAAAAGAGAAAGAAACTGAAGCTTGATCCTAGTGCAGCAGGTTTAACATGGTTAGTAATAAATGTCAGCTGCAGAAGAGCTTTGCAGGAAGATCTACAGCGGTGCAAGCAGAAGAAACTACTGGAAACAGCACAGAAGAGGAGCAGTCTGAAAAAATGCCGTCGGCACTTGTGTGATTATAATGTTCCGCTGTCAGCTCTGGTGAACGAAGATGGGATCATCAAAGCTTCCAGCCATGATATGGAATTGATAACGGAAGCGTTCTACGCAAACCTTTTCCGTTCCACAATCCCCGTCGTGGAGCCTAATATCCCGTTAGTGAAAAGCCACCTGGAATTCTTCCGTCGGAAGTTCGAGTTGTGATAGAAAGCATGAAAAGAGGCACAGCTCCAGGACCAGACAATGTCACCGCCGATTTCCTTAGAGATGGAGGTCACAATTTACATGTACTTCTCGCAGATCATATGACAGACTACCTTCAAAAGCAAAAAAGCCCAGACCAGTGAACGTCGCGTACGATCATCCTGCCCAAGAAAGGGGACCGAAGGGATCTTCCCAACTGTTGTCCCATATTCTTGTTAAGTGTACTCTACGAGCTCTTCACGAGGATTATCCTGTCGCGCATATCAAGGGCAGTGGATGAGGCGCAACAAGTCGAACAAGCAGGATTTCGAAAAGGATTTTGCTGCATGGACCACATCCAAACCGTGTCCAGAGTCATCGAAGCTTGTCGGGAATACCACTTGCCTCTAGTCCTAACTTTTGTCAACTATGAGAAAGTGTTTGACAGTGTCGAAACGAATGCAATCCTATCAGCGTTCGTCGACTAAGGAGTGGACCCGTCTTACATAAGGACTCTGTCCGATTGTTATCGGAACTGCACTACGAAAAAACAGCTTTTCCATCGACTTCCTACATACCCATAGAAAAAGGGGTTGGACAGGGCGACACAGTATCGCCAAAGCTGTTCAGTGCTGCACTGCAGTGGATAGTGAAGTCACTCAATTGGGATGAGAAAGGCGTACGCATTGATGGAAAATTCCTATCGAACCTTCGTTTTGCTGACGACATTGTCATCTTCTCAAGAAGTACTAGCAAAGCAGAAGTGATGATCAACGAGCTCAACGAAGCCGGGAAAAAGATCGGGCTCCGCATAAATCGAAAGAAGACCCAGTTCATGAAAAACCCATGTTGCGAAGGCGAAAAAATTGAATTGGATGACTCTCTCATTGTAGAGACCACCTCGTACATATACCTTGGGCGATCAATGAACATGGAAAACAAAATGAAGGAGGAACTAGATAGAAGAAGTAGAGCAGCTTGGGCCGCATCCGGGTATGTCAACGAATCCACCGACCAACTGAAGGGCGCGAAAATTCGCGCTCATCTCTTCGGTTCTACGGTCCTCCCAGCGCTCTTTTATGCTGCAGAGACGTGGATTGATGTTTCAACTACGTCAAGAATGCTTCAAACTACTCACAGAGCGCTTGAGCGATGTTTTCTGAAATATAACCGGCACTCTCAACATGTAGTCGGAATACGAGGCTCTGACCTTCGAAATCTGTCACATCTTCGAGATCCGGGAGAATATACATCAATAGCGCTACATAGATGGGCCGGTCACATAATGAGAAGAACAGACGACAGATGGGCTAAAAGAACAGTAAAGTGGACTCCAAGAGAATGCAAGCATCCCCTTGGATGACCACTTACATGTTGGGCGGACGTGTTCGTAAACAAAATTAATCAGCTGTACCAGCAGCTGCAGTTGTTGTGCAGATCACGGTATGAGAATCGCAAGCGCTACCATGCTCGAACAAGACCACCACCATGGACTACGATTGCGAGAGAAAGGAACGAATGGGATATGTGCTGGGGTCCACACAGCTCGTGAAGACGAACCGTCCAAGTATCCAAGTATTTCAAGGGTTCCATTTGTGTACTTGTTCTCATTTGCTTTCTCTATTCCGCGGTTGAATCATCCAGAGAAAAATTTATATTTGTCTGCCACAGTGAGCCACTCTTTTTACGTGTCTGTCAGCTGCACAAGTCTATGAGTGGTAGTTGATCATACCATTCTTTCTTTAAAAATTGAAGTTAGGAATTAAACATGGCCAGACAAGCTCATTAGAGTTTGTACATGCTTATGTAATGGATTTTAATGGTTGGATGTCCGATGCAGAAAGCTATAGCGATATTTTATATTTCTATCGCGGATTGTTCCCGGAACGGTCTACCGCCTCATCGTAGCTGGGAGGTGTTCTTGGGTGTCGAACTGCGATGTACAGCGGGCTGAGAAGGAGTCTGGCGTTTCCATCAGGAAGGCTAGCTAAGAGTAAAACAATAAACTGAGCCAAACCAGTAACTTTGATACCAGGATCCACCACCGTCCTGGTATCAAAGTCAAAGCATGTGGCAAACCTCCCTCTGATCCACAAGGGCTGTGGCTGCCCCTGGTGGTGAAGACCTGGGGCAGACTTTGGCCAGGCTGACCTCAGGATTTCAGGAACCACAATGGCTTAAGCAGCAAATCTCCGAAAAGTGGAGATTATGCTAGGGCCTGCACAACCAGTGAGGGCGAGCCATTCAAGTATCAAGTAAGTATCAAGTAATATTGTAGTCATCCGAGATTTAATCACCTCTTACTGGTTGGCTCATCTGGTCTCTGACGTTCGAAAATAGGACCACCCAATGTATAGGGTGCAAGGTTGCTTCATTATTCGTTGAGCCGTTTGCTGTTATCTGTGGTCGTGGCAGTAGCACACCTCCAGCTTAGGTTGTAACCACAAGCAATGAGCGGCCTTTGTGGATCAGGGAGAGATCGCATACCTTGTAACTATTTTATCACTAGGAAAGCATTGATTTCGGGCATTGGTTTACACTTACTGGACTTCCGGTCGAACTACTCAGCTTGAAAGACGATGTTGTGGAGATAAATCACCCGCTACATACCATGGTTAGAAGAACACCAAAAGCACCTCCAGTAGCAATGGTGAAGTGCTCTTACTAGACTGGTGTCGTATAGGATAAGCTGATTCTTTCGCCTGGAGTTCTGAAATAACTGCGACAGGGTGTTCTCAGAGTACGAACTATTTGGAGTTGGAAGTTTATTGCCGCATTGTAATTAAATCTCTCTAAAGACGACAGCGATTCCTGGCACTACTTTATACATAACTAGACTTCTGAATTTCCCACTGCATAGTATGGAAAAGTCTACTTGGATGGAAGATGAACCAGCTGCTGTTCATCACAGTTTGGTCCATTCTTTTTTCATAGTGAGGCGGTAAACTAGAGTGGGGAGACTGTTTCAATATCATTATAGTATAAAATGAGCTGCATGAAATCTTTCAGATTATCGACCGATAGGTATGAAACTATTTTTAGCACGCCGTTGTTGTTGTCGAAGGTTCGAAACGTGAATGGTTCATTCCAATTCTATCGATTGTTGATAAGGTACGGAAAATTCGATGAACAGGTATTTAGTACCATCCGAATAATTAGCATCGTGAAAATCTGAGTTCAGATTCCTCGCTGAATTGTACGATTGTTATCCATTATAAAATCTATAAATAGGAACAATTACAAAGAAGCTAATATGAATGATATGAAAGGATCTGCTGCATTTGAACGCGTTGGTGATGGTGAAAGCAAGTGGAATGTTCAAGAATGTGCCAACGGCTATCGTTGGTGTCTTACCAGATACCATTGATTCAAGCGCACTTGGTCATAAACTCGAAAAACCACCGAAAGAGACATTTGAAGTAAAGTTCTTCTTTTCTTCTTCCTTTATAGAAATCATTTCTCTTTATTGAAATCCTCATGAGCCATACCGAAGAGAGTAAAGGAGGAAGAACTCCAAAGATGTGACAAGCTTAGATGGATACATGGTGAATGTTCAGGATATCGGCGGACTAGAGGGTCCTATTCAAGAAATCAAAGAATCCGTTGAACTTCCACTCACACATCCGGAGTACTATGAGGAGATGGGTATCACTGCACCAAAAGGTGTGATTCTGTATGGAGAACCTGGTACAGGTATGTCTACATACTAGCATACCAAATCGGAACTCTGTCATTGACTGGAGAACAGTATTTTTTCTTGGGTTACAGTCCTCTTCAACGGCTAATTCCTACGATAAGTATCGATCTGTTTGCGCTCCGTAGTAATAATGAACTCCGGACGCGGCGTTACAAAATTGGGGATAGTCATTGGGTATTCGCCATTACGGATCTTACACTATAAATGCATATTGATCGGTCCAATGACTGTAGAGGGTACTAATCTGGAGGTACATCGTACAAACTCATGAACAGTAAAGAAAAACAAGAAAAACAAAACAAACTGTCTAGGACATTTCTAATGCAGCTGCTTGTGTAACAATGTCGTGACCGAGTAGCATAACGAAGCCACTATATGCATATGACTAGGATTAATAGTTTAGTGGAGAATTCCCGATATTCAGGAAAGACACTACTGGCGAAAGCAGTTGCCAATTCAACATCGGCAACATTTATTCGTGCGACTGGTGCTGATTTAGTGCAGAAGAACTCTGGTGATGGTGCGAAGCTCGTAAGGTCCACTCTTACTAATCTTCTGAGAGTATTTTTATCCAGTACTAGTTGATCTCCAACTGTTTCCTAGTGTTATTCTAATCTGTGTATGTCATAAAGCACAAGGGATAGGGCATTCTGCGTCGAACAATCCCCGTAAGGATGCGCTATTCGACTCCACTCGTGGATCTGATTGAATCGATATCTAGCTTGTATTAGTAGCATGGGGGGAAGGGGGCTGGCAGAGAATCTGACGCATTGATGCATTAAGTCAATGTTCTTATTCCCCTCTACAAGTTTGACACGAACCAGACTCGGCTCCGAGTGCATGGTGGGGTTTGTTTGAGTGAAGTACGGTTCCCACCAGCGACCACGTGTATATTGAAGGGCGACTGCAAGCACTGAGTTATTGGAATAATTATTTAATATATTTTGTAGTGTAAAACCTGTTTAATAATCCCACTCTCAGAGAACTATTCAAAATGGCAAAAGAAAGTGCTCCGTGCATTGTTTTTCTCGACGAGATTGATGCAGTCGGTACAAAACGGTTCGATACGTCCAGTAAAGGCGAGCAGGAGGTGTGTACTTGCGTCGGTTTACCTTTTGAAGCTAACCGAGTATGCGCTAGTGTCGAAAGTTGTTGTCTACTCTGAATAGCGCCCGAGCGCAGAACGTCCGCTCGTTCGACTCTAGGCTACATTTCTTCATGTATGACTATTCATTGCATAGTATTAGAGCAAGTGAAGTTTTATTAAGGTCCAACGTACTCTACTAGAGCTACTAAATCAACTGGATGGTTTCGAAAGCCGTGGTGATGTGAAGGTGGTTTTTCACAATATGTTTTCGTCACAATGTCGCCTATTCATCATCTATATTTACTTAAGGTGATTCTGGCAACGAATCGAATTGATTCGCTGGACTCGGCACTTCTTCGTCCTGGACGTATTGATCGAAAAATTGAACTACCGAAGCCGGACGAGAAGACGAGGCAGAAGATCTTTGGAGTATGTTGCTTATCTTTATGTCTCTGACGCTATTGCTGTGAAGTAACAAGTACTGAAGGATGGAGTACATTTGTACTGAGATGGAAAAGAAACCTGGGCAGTATTATATTTGTATACTCAATTGGACACTTGGATGGCCATTCCTCACTGGTTGCGCAAGCCCCAGCATCTCCATTTTTTCGAAGCTTTGCTGGTTTAGTCATTGTGGTTCACTGGAGTCCTGAGGTCAGCAAATCAATCAAGGTCTGCACCAGGTCGTCACCACTACGTCAGTCGCAGCCCTTGTGGTTCAGAAGGAGATTTGCCACCATGCGAGCAGCTTGATACCAGGGCGGTGGTGGACCCTGGTATATATTTGTGTACTTACCATCATGGATATTCGTATGGTGCACGATCCGCACATATTGATTAGGGAGTAAATACATTCACTGCTTGTGTTCTGCGCTGTTATATATCGTGCCTGTTATGTTTGAGCATAACTGCAGGTTTTCCGTATGCCAATCGATATTCTCTAGATACATACGGCTGGTATGAACCTAGCAAAAGATGTAACATTTGAAGCGGTGATGTCAAAAGAGAAAATTATGTCCGGAGCGGAAATCAAGGTTGTGTTGTGCATCGTGAAATATTTTCTCGATAAGGTCTTTTGAATAACTTCTTCTCTTCATTCTCAGGCAGTGTGTACAGAAGCCGGTATGCTAGCGCTTCGAGCTCAACGAAAGGTGGTTTGCGCTGATGATTTCGAGAAAGCAATCAAAAATATGATGTTGAAGAACAAAGGTGGAGCACCAGAGGAGTTTTACGCCTAACACTACTGATATTAAATCGAAGAAGATGATAATACATCATATAAATAAGCTACATACAGTATTAACTACTAGTAAAATGACAATAAAGTTCTTATGGATGGAAGAATGTCTTCTTTGAAACAAATAAGCGTATTCTTTCATGAAATTGCTTTGAAAATCTGGTTCAGTGAGTTTTGGATATCACTGGTAACACAAGAAGTGAAGCGGTTTCCATACGATGGATTCTGTCACTTGAAATATCGGAATACAAGGTACCAAATGACGCTTCTGGTCTTTCCATTTTCCCATCCGAATTATCACATCTGTCATCCGCCGCATTGATAAAGATCTCTGTGGTTTTGATCATCAGTAAAAGGATAAAAGGGTAAAGCTCTCAGTGTTGATCAATCCCCGAGGGATACGCCATGCATTCGACTTCATTAAGCATCGTTTGGAGATGATTGAATATATTTCTGCCCTTTACAATGACTTGCGGTGGAATGCCGATGTATCGAGTCAGTGCTGTTACCCTTCCAGACAAGTCTGGTGTCAATTTGTCGACCCAAAGAGATGGAAAGCTTGGTGGGCTATAGGCGTGAGGATCGACCCCGAGTGTGTGTTGTAGGGCGCCTGCGACCACTGCGCTCCTTTGATCATCAGTAGGGAACGAAATGGTGATATACTGATCATAGTAGCGAGGAAGAAATACGGTATGAAACATTGGTAAGTCATGATAGGAGTTTTTGTGGAGAGGGTACACGTCGTTGTATGGAACTGTTTCAACTGGCACTAAGTCGTACTTCTTGTGATTCCGCTTGGACGGGTAAGATAAGGCCAGCTAATAGACATGGCCAAGAAGATGAGACGTTTCGACTGACTAATTAATGCCGATTCATCCAATTTAATGTTTTATTTCCAGATTATTTTTGAACATGAATCAAAAACCTTAGAAGTACCATTATCATTTGTCTTATAACATCATATTTCGTACTTAGATGTTGCACACTTTACGGAGATCCACTAATTCCATACTACAATGATTGGTAACCGGTTGATCTGCAATATTCGACGACTACGCAATAAGAATAGAAATCCATTGAAATGTTTTACAGTATCCTTTATACACGTGCTCGATCCATGTGAAACATGATGCATTCGTTGTGGTCACCTTTCATCGACATCTCTCTAGAAGAAACAGAATTCTTAATGCCAAAAACGAACCCAAAGAAGATCAGTGCAACCCACCGTAATCAATGGGACAACCTTTTTTGCAGTCACACCCTCGGTGTTAAAGGATTTTCTCGGATCTTTCTCGGATTTCTTCGCCTCCTTGTACATGATTATCAGCTTATCATTTCGCGTTGGACCTGATTGCCGTAAGATCTGAAAGATTCGTGAGCGATATGTTACTTAGTAAACATGATTCATAAAGTTTCTACCACGTTTGTCACAAGTACAGGGAATTCATGGATACTTGCCTACTTTTGATACTTGGATGGCCCGCCTTCATTGGTTGTGCTAGCCCCAGCATAGTGTCTATTTGTTCGGAGTCCTGCTGACTTAGCCACTGTGGTTCTCCGAAGTTCCGACGTCACCCAGCACAAAGACTGCCCAAGGTCGCCACAACGACATGCGACTAGTTTGATACCAGGACGTTGGTGGATCTTGGTATTGGTTTACTCTTAGCTGGGCTTTCTGATGAAAACGCCTGACTCCTCGACTTCGGAGACCCTTTTGAGGAAATGAATCCTCCGCTGTACATCACAGCCCGACACGCAGAAACACCTCCCAGCTACGATGAGGCGGTAAACACAAACCCGAATCATAGATATATCTCGATAATTGCATTTCAGTTACTAACAGTACCTCTACTCTATCTTGATGTTTTGTTTGCGTTTTCGGAAACTGAATCTAAAAAAAGAATGATGGAAATGGTCGTTTGAACATTTTTCTCAGGACGAGAATGGAAAAAAAGCTCTCCTTTACGAGTTGAAAACCTTTTTTCTCGAACACCTCAGGTAAAAGGAAGAAATATGCGTCGACTGAACAAGTAAAAAGTAAGGAGAAAAACAATGAGAGATAAAAGAAAAGTGTGTATAAGTGAGCAATCGACGAAATTTTAAACGACGGTTAGTATGAGGATTAATATGAGGACAAATAACACCATTAGTGTAAAGAACACCTTTTGCTAAGTTTTACATGTTTTGTTTCCAAATTTCCCAAAAATTTCCCTATTCCATCTCTTCCATTTCAAATGCTTTGACGCCCGCCTCATCGTGTCTGTCGGAATAGATATTCGTGGACGTCGAAGTGACATCTACAACCGAATTTCATCCCCAGCATGGCCACCCAACCCAAGCCAAAACGGAGTTTAACATATCCACTCGGAGGCCAGACGGAGATAAAATCTTTGCGAAGAGTCGCTAATTCGGAACAAACATAGCCGAGAGGTGGTGGAAAACCCACAGCAACCGCCACGGTCTATTTGCTGTCACGATTGAGAACTCCATGGCAACAATTTCTAGCGATTTCTGGAGGACGAAGGTTTTCAAACAAACTATGTGTCAGTATAGTGGAAAATGTGCTGGGGCCAGCACAATCCTTCTTAATGATAGTTCATTCGGTGGTAAAAGTTATAAATACTTACAAAAGATAGAAAGCAGATAGTAATGAAAGGAGAGTGTATGAGGACGGAAGTGGTAGATAGAAAGGCAGACAGACAGATAGAGAGAGAGAGAGAGGGAGAGAGAGAGGGAAAGAGAGAGGGTGAATCACAAAGTGAGGAAGACTTTCAGATCAGCTTATGTGTTGATAAAAACAACGACCACAGAGCGAAATTTCGTCGATTCTCCGGCTCACACGGAATTGATGATTATACTGATGATCTGACGTCAGCGCTTCAGTAGAAGAACATGAATATCCGAGTTTTGCTGTTGGTTCAGCAAAAACTTCGTGAAGTTTCCGCCATAACGCACAAATCTGCGCGCGACCGTACTGAGATGCATTGTTCCATCATTACTGTACCTTGACATACTCAAACAAGAATGAATTTAAAAGACAACAGAGTGTAGTCTATATTTGTAAAGATTAATAGAAAGAAAAAGAGTGAAGGTGAGAGAGACAAAAAATCGATGAAAAGAAAAGAAGGGAAGGGAGCGAATGACTAAAAGTGTGTAAAGGTTAGCAGATGTTTCGTATGATGTCAATGGCTTAGTAATAAACTGATGAAAAACAGAATTTGAATTGTTTTTCAAAGGTATATGACTGATTGAATAATGAAGCATTAAGGTGAGAACGTAATTCAAACGCGATGGGAAGGTGGTTTTGGAAAAAATAAGGGAAAAAACTTAAACTTATAAACTTAAAACACACTTAAATCGGATTTTTTGCCAAGATAAGAAAGAATGCATATCGATCGTGAGTTTTGAGAAGATACGAAGGAATTAAATCCACAGTCAGAAACTCTGGCCATAAGGCATCGCTAATGTGGTCAGTTGTTGTGTTTGCTTTAAATGCTTCGAAAATTTGACTCATCCTTTTTTAAATGTCAATGTTCTAACAAGTTACAAAAGAAAATTCATCAGCTATGTAGTAACAATGTCGACAGTTATGAAAAAAAAAACAGCACAGATGTGTTAAGGATACTCTTTTGACGTTGGTTTACTGAGATTTATAAATGATAAAGGACAATGAGCCCACCACTGATCAATCTCTGATAGATGAGCCATGCATTCATAGCATCACAGGGATAACTGAATGCATATCTAGCGTGCAAAACGATTCGCGGTGGCCTACTGATGTGTCGGGTCAATGTTATTATCCTCCCAAACAAATCTGGTAGCAATTTGCAAATTTCGTGGGGATATGATGCCTGGTCAGTCCTGACCGGGGTCGAACCAGAGACCTTGCACGTATTTCTGAATGGCATCTCTTATTACTATGATTTCCGCACTCTGATCAGTCAGATTTAAATATGAATAAATCGTCCGTTGTGCCGGCATTAATTACGTCCAGTTTAATTTCTATTGGACACACCATATTCTCAAATTCTATTAAGCCGTGGATTCTCCAGTTTCCACAAAAGATATCCATCATTATCCAACGTTGAGAAGAAAAGACTCTTTGTCGTGTACGAAAATTGGAACATCTAAGGACGGATCACTGAAATCAGCCCTTTCTCACTAAATTTCTAGCAAGTCCGGTGTTTCCAGAGTACTGTAGTACTTCGAGAAGATTCGAGATCTTTTGCGAACGAAGTGAAAGTCTACACTTAAAAAGAGATCGAGTGTTTCCCGAAAAATTCACCGCTTCAATTTAACCATATGGGCACATCTTTCATACTCCAGTGAAATGGAAAGTTTTTCAGAACCATGCGAGCTTCTCCATTCCTATGGGAGAACCAGTTTTTCGGAACCAAGCGTTAAGGAATTGAGAAATCAAATTTTTGTGGATGATGGACAGAGATTTCAAGCCCGATATGAACCAAAGGAGTTGATGATTTATTATGCTTTCCATATTTCAACAACTCAGACAAAGATTAATAGAATGAGGTTTTGTTAACGAAGTTTTTCTTCTGAGGAAAAATGGCTGGTTACAGTATTTGAAGATAAGACAACGGTAGTCCATCTTTAGCCAAATAATACCAACTAAAAACACTTGTCTGCAATGACGATTGGATATATTATGAACTTCAGTAATTAAGAAAGAAAAATTAGCTCTTTAAGATCGGAAATGCGGTAACATTTAGAGTAAGATGTTATGGACTGTTTTAAGAACGTCATTATGTCCTTCGTATATTTATAAACAATGTTGAACATCACCAAGTATCGTAATTAGACACGTACGAAACATGGGTATTGATTGGCTCCAATTAACGAGGACATTTGTTGAGGACATTTAGCCGATATATACATATATATATATATATATAATACATATATACGGAGCGCGTGTAGCGCAGTGGTTAGGGTTGCTCTGCAAAACACACGTGGTCGCAAGTTGGAAAACGCGCCAAAAGCTCAACAAGGCCTCCACTTCCTCAAGGTGGGAAGATCGCCACCGCGCAGACCTGTCTGGGAGGATACGAGCACTGACTCCACATATCGTTAGGCCACCGTGAGTCAATTGTGTTGGCCTGATATGTATTCGATCACCTCTAACGATGGTAAATGAAGGCTGATGCATGGCGCACTCCTTAGGGATTGATCAACGCCGAAAGTTTCGTCCTTTTTCCATCCCTTATATATACATATCTATGTTTATATCAAAGAACGCATAAGGAAACTGAAGTACCTGTAAGTCCATGGAAGCACCAGTGTCTAGAAATGCGTAAACGGGTGACACCTGAACAAAAAACTGGTCTACTTTTGTTGGAATAAAAAGAAAAATAGTATTTACGAAAACCCTATTTACGCTTGATAGTGTAGAGTATAGCGCAGTGGCTACAGGTTGTAGGTAAAATACGGGCGATTCAATCCGGCTACCAAGTCATGTCAAGCGCCCCACGTTGGTAAACATGGCATCAGATTTGCCAGGGACAATAAAGACGACTGATTTCACACACCGGTGGAACTCTGTAAGTCATTGGATGGGCTTATTGCATTCACTCGATTCTACGTTGCAACAAATGTACTCGAACATGACGTACCTCCTGAGGATTGCTCATCGACAAACTCATTATTCTTCAACGGCTTTATCAAGGAATATGTATGCCTGGGTACTGAATTATTATATATAGTAGGTGTTCACTTCCTATAGAGGAGTCATATAAAATGTGGAAGAAAACAGCATAAATGCTATTAAACTCAACTAAGAAGAAACAAAACTGTCGGATTAGTATGAATCCCGATGAAAAGAAATATGTGATTCCTTTGAACCACAGACGCAGATGATCGGCTACGGTGAAGAGCTAAAAGGGATCGTGGCACCACTAATATTCCGTATTACTTTAAAGATCAAGGTTGTCTGAGTCGAACAGCAGAAGACCACCCTTAACAACTCGCACATTTTGTCTGTGTATACGATGAAGAGCAGTTTGATAGCTGGTATAAGGTGATGAACTTTAGACGTTGAGTAAACTGTAGCACCAGAACAATTCATTTATGACAAACTGGGAAGGCCATTTCTTCGTGTCCTTTAATAACACTGGAAAACTCTCTTTTGACTTCGCTCTGCACACTGTTGTCGTGGTCGCAGCCGACGTTAAATTTTAGGTGATTACCGTACCGGTCTAGTCAGATGTGAGGATGAGTTCCCGCGACGAAATGTCGTTAGCACAGACCTTCTCGCACACCTATCCTATACTCACTGATTCAGCTCACAAACAAACCCGTTACCTTAACTGTGAATATTTTCTTGAACTATCGTGTCGAAATAAGGTAAGACTGCTATCCAATGCTATTCAACAAGTTAAGCAGCTGATGGATACAAATTAGATGGACGATGTGGTCAGGTGGAGCAAACACCTAATGCAGCCAACAGTCAACTTCTAAAAGTTAGCGGAGGCTTTTCAGCTTTAAATGAAGAAGCATGGACAGTCAATTTCAGAAACTTTCTCACAACATATGTTGTTCACGAAAAAAATCATTTTCCTTCTAGAAGGAATATTAGTGGACACTGCACTCGTTCAATAGTACGGTCAACATGAAGATCGACGCATCTTTACTAGTTTGCCCTTGGCAACTTCGAAATATCTCTACTGGGTCCAATAACAGCCTCATTCGTTGTGGAGATTCGATCCAACTAATTCAACTACACGGTATAAAACACCGCCATGGCGGGAGCGAAAAAGGGTATATCAATTACATCATGAACGTAATTTACTCCGTACACATCACCCGTTCTATGCCCACACGAATTCTGTGCAAGAACTGCAACATTTTAATTCGGATTTTCAACTCATAAGATGTAAGTATAAAAGTAATAGAATTCACAATGTTTACTTTTTATTTTTTGCCTTCTATAATTTTTATGGCAGGGTATTAAGCGAAATACAACCACAATATTGCTGAGATATTTGCAAAACTAGGGACTGCAGGTGTCTGGGGGGAGAACGAACGCTCTATTGCCCTTTCCGGGGAGTAACGCGTTCACCACCACACCATGCGGGTCCTTCGTTTCGTCTGTCTCTCAGCTAGTTCTATCGATCGGCACCATCAGCAATCACCCGCGCGTTCGTTCCCCATGGCAGACACCTGCGATCCGGATTTTTGCAAACATCTCAAAAGTAGTAGAGTAAAAGGATCGGGAAACAAACTACAGCCTCATAAGTAGTTTCCTTTGAGTTTTAAACCACAAACTGAAGCACTTCTTTGTCTATACAAAAAATACTACGAATGAAAAGAACCACCAAAAGATTTTTCCCGTGGTTATTCTACCATTAACTGGAGTGTACGATATGTGCGGTAGACAGGGAACAGAACTGAAGCAGGTACTCGATGAAGGATGGCAGTCGCCGCCAACTGCTTTATGGACACTCAGCAAAGCTACAAACCAGCTCATAAGTGCAGATTTTCTCTTCTATTTCTTCGACTTTACAGTTCTTGCAGTGCTGAGAGTTGCAGCGGGTATGCGGACCAAAACTTCCATGACTTCATGATTTTCGCTGACTTGATGAATTAATGAGTTTAATGGACTTGTTTTCTACGCACTACATAGTGCTTAGCAGAAAAATGTACGCTTTAATGCAACAATGCTACGCAGGTACATGGCAGTCCAGACCCTCGACAGTATTCCACCTCCGAATCCAGCAGAAAGTGCATCTAACAGAGGGCAAAGGTGACTAGGTGACGAGAGAAGTTGATGACAATATGGGGAAAAGAAGAATCAGAGAGCAGCAGCTTATGAAATTTACAGTAGGCTCTCATTCATTGTCTATGTAGGATCTTCAAGAGCACGACATTACCAATACGCAGGAAATAGATCGTCTCCCGTGTGCGACTCGTGACAGCTCATAGTTAATAAGTGAATTTTAATGGTACAATCGCAACCGACGTTTGTTTTCTGCTACCACCACATTTTTGCTGTGGATTAATATGCTGATTGCAGCGTAGTGGGTAAGGACGTCGCATCAAACAAATCTGGTGATTGGTTCAATGATCTGTCCTGATCACAACAAACTTTCTGTCTTTTCAGGCTGACTATACTGCTACCCGACTATATTTACAAGGTAGAAAACGGTGATTCGCTATATCGATCGGCCTGTATACTCCAAATGTGCAGTTAACAATACCATAGTTTATGAAGTGGAATATAAAGCGCATTTAAATGGGCTAAACGCTTTATGCTTTACCTTTTTATAGAGTGTTTCTCTAGAAAGTTTGCTTCCAATATCACCAAGATAATATTATTTCATAGCCTAAGGGAGCTTCCGGTTCCAAAACAACGGCGGAACAAAAGCGATGCAAAGACCGATTTCTTCATGATCTCTGAGGCCACAATTAGGAACAAAACATTACTATCACCTCTTATATTTATACGATGTGCCGAATTAACTTTGAACTAACCTTAAATAAGGAGTTATTACTACATTTCACTTTGAACACCATACGCGACGAGCCGCTGTTAGTAAGCACATGCTTTGACGCGCCTCCAAATTCTGAACAGAGACGACTTTATGACTTTGAATCCATTCACAACTACTACAGTACTGGCAAAAATCACCGATAAACTCAGCAAACGGTGGATAGACGAGTAATTCCAGCGTTGGTCGTGGAATTGGTGGCTGTCTGAAACAGGGAAAAAGCGTAGAATACTGCAACGATTTTTAAAAAGTTGAGGTCTTAGGTCGTAGAAAAGCAGCGAGCATCACAATAAGAATAAGCAGTTCGGCTGGAAGAGGAGGAGGAGCTTTCGTGATGACGGATGAGTCTCATGGTGTTGAGATGGTACGCAAGAGTTATGCCGACCAGTAGCGCGCGACGTCGCTCCTGCGGTCATTCAAGTATTTTAAGAAGAAATTTACGCTACATTCGGCATCGTATTGATGATAGTGATAGCTTGATTTTCCATACAAGATAAGCGAGCAGCAGTAATTCGTCTAGTACCAACTGAAAATCTGAGGAGAGTGGTCGACTTCAATTAACTCTTCACGTATCATTTCTGATGTCAGCGTGAAGAACGCTTTTGACTGAATTCTCCATATCCACTTCTACTGCTGTATATCAGTGCAAAATCCTTTGATAGTATACCTTAGAGTAGAATTTGAAGGAAATCTCCTGCATCAGCTTTAGAGGTCTGAGATGAAACCAGTCAATCTGAGTCTTTTCTTTCAGAAAGTTAGCATCTAAGCCTTTGCGATGATTGTGAGCGATATTCATATCACTATGTGCTCTGCCGCTATTGAAAAAGCGTTTGATTTATTGCCGATTCTTTAAACTTACTTGTATACTTGGATGGCCTGTCTTCACTGGTTGTGCGAACCCAGCATAACTTCCATTGTTTCATAATTTTGCTGGTTTAGCCATTGTGGTTCCCTGGAGTTTCAAGGTCAGCCAGGTCAAAGTCTGCCCTAGGTCGTCACCAGCACAGATAGTCGCCACCCTTGTGGATAAGAGGGAGATTTGCCACCATGCGATAAGTTTGATACTAAGACAGTGATGGATCCTGGTATTGGTTTACTCTTAACTTGGTTTCCTAATGCAAACGCAGGACTACCTCTTAGTATGGGAGGCCCTGCTGAGAAGATGAGTCCCCTGCTGCACATCGCAGTCCGACACCCAGGAACACCTCTCAGCCAAGATGAGGTGGTAAAAGGTTGGGAGGGATTTTTCAAAACAAAATCAAAAATTTAAAACATTCATAATTTCGAGGCAAATGGGTTCATTAAAAGACTATGAGTACACATATTCTGGTCTTTAATGTTTCTAACTCAAAGCATCTAAAATAAGACTTCTATTAGAAAAAACCTTCAGACGCTAAGCTATTTTATTGGCATCCCACGGCCAACACTAAATTTGATTTATGGATGGAAAGTCCGTGTTAACATCGTTTTGCAGAGAATGAATAATACTACCCATATAGGAGGTCATTTCCCGCCTAATTAGGCGCTTCGAAATTGGGAAAACGACGTTTTCAGGTTGATACATCAGCTGTTCCCAACGAGGTGAATGTAGGCTTCTAGTTTTTCTCAGTCAGGATTACGAAAATATTTGGGTGAGCAGATTCCGTGTCATTCTGAGGCTTCCCAGGATCTAACATGGGCGAAATCCGCCAAAACATTAGCCACTGTTGGATAAGTACTGCGTTCTTGCGTCTGCTAATCAAGAAAACATTAACTTCATGACGAATACCTGGGTTAAAAGAAACTTGATCATAGGAGTCATGAATATGTTTGAAAACTATGCCTCGAAAGCAATGTGTGCACGATTGTCCAATTTCATTTGATCATTTGATTAAATATAACTATGAAATAATGAGACTTGTTGTGGGAAATGCTCAACAGTGATGCTTACTTACTTTGGCGGATAGACGAAAAACGTCATTGGATCGATTTGGCAAAACCTCTTTATTGATTTTTCCGTGTCACCAGAAATTCGATTCGACATGATAAATAGCCTGAAATTGATGTCGTTAGATGGGAAATTCAATACAGAGCTGGGCGTAGACGATCAGACATCATCATCAAATTCAAGACAATACAAAGCGAATTGAAAGACCGAATGAATAGAAGCCGATATCATTTTTGTCGAAAACGGTGTCACCGTCTCGGCAACAAAGGAGGTGAAAGATCGGTAGGTCGAGAATATTCAGACATAAATATCTCACAGCATGGGAGGAGGGGGAGGGTTGTGTTAGCGTGGCGGATAAGTATCCGTGGTGAAGTGGAATGTATGGCACAACCCTTAAGGAGGATTGATCAGTGCACCGATTGATTGTTGTGAGAACGACCTGAAAATTATTTACAGAATCGAGGGGAAAAAGCGACGACTCCAAGCAAAAGAATGCGAAATTAGTGAAAGGAGATATTTCTTTCGAGTTGAGAATGGCCGCAAGAAGACACGTAGAATGAAGGAAAAATCGTGAATGAATGAAGAACAGAGTAGTAACAAAGTAGACAGTAGAGAAATATGGAAGGTAAAAGAAATTGGACAGAAGAGAGAAAGTGGCAACAGCTCTCTTAGAGGAATTACCGTCAAATTCTGAAACACGAAGGATTTGTTCACTATTTTTCAGGCCATGTTTCTGTTGAATTTCATCGCAGTTTAGATATTTATTTAACTGTTCAAAGTCCTAACACCCTAGTGACGTTGACAATTCACTAACGTAAGAATGAACCTAATTTTTGATAAATGAAGCAGTGATTTCATAAGAAGACTTTCTTAAAGAGTTGTCCTTCGGCCAGAAAATGTTTTTAAAACATGAGTCACAAATTTAACTTTTTATTTACTACCTATTACATTTTTTCACGACAGAGTATTATGTGTGATACAACGACAATGATGCTGAGATATTTGCAAAACTCCGGACCGCAGGTGTCTGCTCACCACATCATTCCCGTTGACTGATGATTGCTGATGGAAATGGTAGGTAGAAAATTAGCTAAAAGAAAGGCGAAACGAAAGACCCGCATGGTATGGTGGTGAATGCGTTAGCCCCGGAAATGGTAATAGCGCGTTCGTTCCCCACCGTAGAAACCTGCGGTCCGGAGTTTTGCAAATATCTAGCATCATTGTGATAAATCACAAAATTTCACCCGAAAACAATGTGTCTTATCATGTCGAGTAGGCTGTACTGTTGCCTAAATGTAATGGTAGCCATACCCATACAGAATGCTTGGATCGGTTCATTTCCTGCGTGTCTACCTTAGTTCCACTTAAGTGAAAGTCAATAGAGACAAAGGGCACAACGGTAAACAGGGTAATACACCGGATTTTCGCTATTATTTCGGAATAAGGAATTCATGTGAAGAAAGAAAAAAATCGACGTAATGTTGGTAGCTGGTGATCGGATCTGACAGATTAAAGCGGTAAAGTATTGTTGGACTGAACTTTGGACTAGGAATGTTGAATAGCGTAGTTCGTTTCTTAACCCCTGCCTTCTTTTGTTCGGCGGGTTTTTCTTTCTTCGAAAACCTTGTTAGAGTTTGCACATAGAAAAATGTACTTGGGAAAGAGAAAAAGAGATAGAAAGAAAGAGAGAGTGAGTGAATAAATGAAGAAATGAATGAATTAGTGAATGAATGGTTGAATGAATGAGTAAATGAATGAATGAATGAATGAATGAATGAGACAATGAAGGAATGGAACAAACATGGAATTAAACTTTTCTAGAGGTGCTTCAGCTAAGTGAGCCATTTCACTGGTTTAACAGAATTTGTACATTTCATTTAATAGAGATGATATTCACAAATATAATGCCTTTTCATAATGGAATATTATTTTCTAGATGTGTAACACATCCTTCTTACTTTTAAGTAGTTTTAAACACATTCCATTCAATCCCAGTCTGGTTCGTTTAGCTTCATTTCAAAATCGGTCATTAATAGTAAGCCTGCTACACTATCGTCGATCGTTCACACAGTCGACTCATGGCAGGGATCGCTTCCTCCCTGGAGGAACCTAGACAGATCTCCACTCGGTCAACAACATCCGACACAGATCACTTGTGGTGAAGACTGTGAAGCCCACAATAATCACAGGATTCTAGACAGAACGACACTTAACTAGCGTTTATGTCAATGAGAAAAGAATATCAGATTCTTAAGAACTAGTCGGTCATCTCAATGAATGCTGACTGGAACAGAAGAAAACGAATGCAAGAATTCTACAGCACGCACGACACCTGGAAGCGGACGCTCTAAGGATTTGGGCAGTTTTTTCTTTGAAAAATATTGATCGTCAAAAATAGCGAAAGCATTTTTAACACATCCACGGCGAAGCGGAGTCATTTCAATGTGCGCATGCCCGAAAATAATTGCTCCTTCCAAGTTTAACACATAAAGCCGACACTCAATTTTGAGTGAGTGGTCCGTAGGACGACGTCTCGTTTCACGTTGGTTACGAATTGTATAACTCATCTATGATTTCCCAAAAAGCTTAGCCGAGTGGTACGTATGACTTAATAAACCACAGAGTACGAAAACTGTTGATTACAATGCAGTTCCTCCACTTTGTCCCATTCGCCACGTATCATACGATATAAAAAAACGAATCGTGAACGTTATTTGTTGAAGTAAAATATCCTAGCTCATAACCAATCTCGTTAGTTAAATAAAGAAAAGCGCCTGTGGCGCAGTGGTCGGAGGCGCCCTGCAACACACACGTGGAATCGATCCCACCCATCACCCACCAAGTCCTTCCTATAGGGTCGGAAAATTCATCCCTATAGGGTCGGAAAATTGGTACTATACTTGCCTGGAGGATAGCAGCACTGGCCCGATACATCAGCAGGCCACTGTGAGTCACTGTAGAAGCCAGATATGCATTCAATCACCTCTAAACGATGCTTAATGAGGTCGAATGCAGGCGCATCTCTCAGGGATTGATCAACACCGAGAGCTTTATCCTTTTATCCTTTTAGTTAAGGAAAACCAGTAGAATGCGCCGGTTTCTTGTTCAGCAATCGCGAGGTTGTTAAACAGCATACATTTATAACTCGTATGAAATGCTGAGATATTCGCAAAACTCCGGACCACAGGTGTATGCAATGGAGAACGCAACATAACCTGCCATTAAGAAGAAAAAGGCAGTAAATAAAAGAGTTAAGATTGTGATTATAACTAAGCTTCAGCGTAACTGGGTTCAATGCCGATATTGGCTCCCCAGATCAACCCCGTTGACGGGTGATTGCTGATGGCAAAAAAGATCGATAGAACTAGCTGAGATACATGCAAATCGAAGGACCCGGATGGTGTATTGGTGAAGTGCGCTGCTCC